TTGTGTGCTTCCGTCGAGTCTTACATGAATGGAGGTAGTCGAGCGCTTCCATATTGTATATTCACCAATGCTCTTATCGAAGTCTTATTTGTGTGCTTACTATTGAGTCTTACATGAACGGAGGTAGTCGAGCGCTGCCATATTGTAGATTCACCAGTGCTCCTATCGAAGTCTTATTTGTGTGCTTACTATTGAGTCTTACATGAACGGAGGTGGTTGAGCGCTCTCATATTGTAGATTTTTTCAAGGCGTCGTGCGCTCTCCTCATCGGAGTTTTCGTACCCTCGGTTCGGAGTATTCAAGGCGTTGAGCGCTCCCATAAGGCAGATTTTTTCAAGGTGTCATGCGCTATCTTCGTCGGGGTTTTTGCACCCTCAGTTCGGAGTATTCAAGGCGTTGAGCGCTTGGTGAGGGCATTATTAGCCCTCAACCATTGTAGATTCTTCATGGCGTTAACTAGTCGAGGCGCGGGCCGTGATTATTAGCCTTCACCCATTGTAGATTCTTCATGGCATTTACTACTCGAGGCGCGGGCCGTGATAATATGTCACTTGATTGAGTTTCTCATCCCTCATGTTGTTAGGTACGTTGACTCGCTCGAAACTACACCACAATTAAACCCCAGTTAGAGCCCAAGTTTTTAAACTCTAATCGGGTGCAGTATAGGGCAAGTATTTATATATCGACCCGGGCCGGTCAGTCTACCCCTACTTCAGTTGTTGACGGGTCGGGGAACCCGAGTTTAGGCCCGATCCGCGAGTTGAGAGCGCGCGGGCTTGTTGTGAGGGTCACGATACAAAGTGAGGTTGACTTCTTGAGCGGCCAAAAGCGCGCCTGCCAGGCTCGTTTACACCGCGGGAGCGGCCGGGTGGGTCACGGGTAGAGTCAAAGTCCCGCTTGAAGCGATTTGTTGGTATAGAAATTTGTGGTGGTGTGGGTTTGAGAAGCGGATCGGAATTGAAGACATGGGCCGCGAGTTGGTGTCGAGCTCATCTACCGCGTGTGAGGGAATGGGCCGGAGTCGTGGTGGGATATGATCCTACCTTATGTAGTGCGGCGGGTAGGCCCACGTTTGTGGCGCGGCGAGGTCTGCGGGCTAAGGTGTGCGATAGCCTAGTTTGAAGTGGGGAAGCTTTTCTTGTGGGCGGAATCACCAGTTTACACTTTACACCCTCTTTCTCCATTTTTTAAGGCCTTCCTTCCCATTACCGCTTCTCTTTCCAGGTTAAAGATATGATTTGGTCGGGTGGCGACCGGTGGCGCGATAAGCTGTACTGGCGGGGGCATCAAGGACTGCAGCTAGGTGTGTTATCTCACTGGTGAATGAGCTTGATGGTGCTGAGTATTTGAAGTAGGGACACAAGTTTGAAACACTGTGGGAGCATCTGATTTTTTAACAACATCGAATCCAGCTGTGGGTCGAGCGAATTGCGAGTGTTGGTGTTGGGCCCCTGTGACGCTGCGGACCGCACCCTGTTGGGAGGATGACTGGGCTTAGCATTACTCGAAGCAAGGATGCAGAATAGTGTGGGTGGTCCGCGCTGCCAGTGGAGCCAATCCAGGTCGGATGCATTGGGGCTGTGGGATTGAAAGTTGGTTGCGTTGCAAAATAGGGACGTCGGACCCGGAATAGGAACTCCCACGTGATGTGCTTGAACCCAAAGACCGGGTGTTACGTGGGTCTTCCTATTTGGATTCTTTTCATGTTCTTTTTTTTTTATTTTCAAAATCTGCTCCCTTCAATTTGCGTGAGCAACCTCTCTATTTTGTGAGGCCGATCGTAGCTTATTGGGCGGAGCTTATTCCTTCTGCTCAACAATCACTCGCTGTGCGGAGCATTTCCGAGGAAGAGATGATGAGGTGGGGGTGGACAGTGGCCTCGGAGGTGGATCATGGCGCGTGTTGGCGAGTTTTGGCTACGCAGATCTGTGTCGCAGACCGGGCCAAACTTCCACGATGATGCAAGCTTCGGAGGCAGATGCGGATTAGTTGTGATCATCTGTGTGGAGATAGGTTGCTCGATTTGTTCTCACTGACTTTCTCCTCCTTGTGGTGTGCAAATTGAACCGATGACGACGACCGAAATATAGTTTTGGACCATATATGGTATTGGAGCAGAGCAGCATATATGGTTTTAGAGCTTTTTGAGATGCCAATCTGGCGACGGCAGAAGCGATTAACGCTTCCCTGAAATTGGGAGCACGCTGCTACTATTGCTTGTCGCGGTCGCTTGTAATTAGTTGGGGAAGAATTTATTTCTCCGAAACTGGGTTTTCCTTCTTGACTTTCCAAGTTTTTCGGATTTGATTTTTTGACTTTCGGATTCAGAGTTTCTTCCTTTGGGAGATCGATCGAACAAAAGTGATGGGTTGTACGGCATTGGGAACATCTTTGCCATGGGTAGGTGGGCTCGCCAGAATCTGGGTCTGTTGTCTTCATCATTTTTTTTTTTTTTTTTGCCTTTTGTTGAATCTGGGTTCCTGATAATTGAGACACAAAAACCTCTTCTACTCCTCCATTAGTGCCCAACATCATCAATTAGAGATACCCATAGTAGAGTTCTCTCTAGAGACATAACTCAGGGTACATTTGGAGATCCCATATTTGGTTTCTCTCTCTTCTATGTTCCGCATCTTTTGGATGTCGAAGTTAAAGCTAGATAATCTACTCTCATTGCTTATCCCATGGAAAAGACAAATGGGAGGTTCCCATATCTGGAACTTGAAACTGTTTTGTGCTCCGCTCTGTTAGTTGCTTCATGTTGAACCGGCCTGGTCGTGAGTAATGGAGGGGAGTCAACTTTCTTCCCGAAATTCGCAGATGCAGTTTTTTTTCTTGTCTTTTTGGAGGGTCAATTAATTTTACTTCTCAACAGCGGAAAAGTTAAACTGCTCACAGGGTATTTTGTGAGTAGATACTCACTGACCCATGAGCTGAGAGGAGAGAGAAAAAACCCACTTTTTGGGCGAGCCGAGAATTTGGGCGGAGGAAGTGGACGGATTTTGGGCGACCCGAAATTTTGGGCGGGAGGTGGGCAGATTTTTGGGGCGGCCGAAATTTTGGGCGGGAAACTTGGTTTTTGATGGAATAATCGGGTCTGGGCTTGCAGCCTAGGAAGGGCTGCCCGCCGAGGGCCCATGGGCCGAAGGCTCATAAAACAATTTTTTGGGCCGATATTGACATGACCTGACAGGATATGTTTTTGTAAAAGGACGAATATTGGTATGAGATTATGCGATATTAGTCTGGGTTTTACAGATATTTGTTAACATGTGTTGGCATAATATCAATTCCTAATTCCCTTAAGTTTTTTTTTACACTCGTTCAGTTATGCATTGTCATTAATAGTTGTCTTGTGCAGGGATGTTTGTAGGTTTTCGTCGTCGATGGTGTTTCTTATGGTTGAGAGATCAATTCGTAGTCGGGATGTTGACTACGCAAGCCAGCGAGTCGTGCAATGCACAAGTGCGACTTTTATTGAAAATGATTTGGACTTGTTTATCATTCACTTTAGCAAGTACGCAGAATATTTCTTTGCCTTTCTTTGATATTATCAAACAATTATCCAAGCAATTCACAACAGATATCATGCTGGTTAAAAACCAATATCCAGATATATCAAACAATTATCCAGGGAAATCACAACTGATATCATGCTGACCAAAAACCAATATCCAGATCAATTTTTTGGGCCGATATTGACATGACCTGACAGGATATGTGTTTGTGCCTGGAATGTACCAGGCGGTTTGTGAGACTCTACTGGCCTTGGGCGGCTTCGATGGTCGAGGGCGGTCTCCGAAACCCTGCAGAAAGGTCCTCAGTGGAATCCTGGGACCTCCTCCGATGCCTAAGTCAGAGAGAGAAGTGAAGAGTAAGTAAATAAGAGAGAGAGTGGAGTTGGTAGAAGTTACCATAAATGAGCTCTATCATTGGGTATTTATACTAGTTCTGAGGGTGTTACGCGCATTTAATAGCTTGTCGGGCGTTCGAGGTCGCCTCTGCCTTCATTAAATGCTCGCTCTGGTCATGTCTCTTGTCAGACTCCGTACCCAAAGGACAGAAGTCCGTTAGACCGGATTGTCGGGCGGTCTTCTTCCTTGGGCAGGCCCGGGTGTCGGGCGGTTTCATCCGAGGGCCGCCGAGAACCGCCCTCGAATGGTGCTTTTGCCCCCGTTCGGGTGGGCTTTACCTTTCATGGGCTTTTGGTGACTTTGTGGGCTTGGGACCCATGTGCCTCAATATTTGGTCCAACATTTGCCCATTAGGCGTGAGAAGTGGTAGGTTTTCGCGGCTAAACGAGGTCACTTATTATTATTGAGCGGCCTGGGTCGCCAGCCCATGTCACGGTCTCGGAACCGCTGGGCGTAGGGCCCCCATTTGCCCCTGGCTGCGAAAGCGTAGCGCGCGAACGCCTGGGGGGCTGGGCCCTTTGCTTTATCGCCACGCGTCAGAACCTCGGGCGAGGAGCTCTGACGGCAGCAGGGCGGACGTCACTTCGGGGGGTTTCCGTCTTGGTTTTCGCGCGGCGCATCCCCCAATTTTTGAACCCTCCTCTTTTTGAGTTTAAGAAGGGTTTGTGGAGGGATTTTGCTGCCATTTATTTCTGTTTTCGGAAACCTCTTCGTCTTCTTCTTCTTTTTTCCTTTGCTGTGCAAGGCTTGGAGCTTCTTCCGACGGGTATAAATTGCAACTTTCATTCCGGTGAGTGCTCTACCCTTTGTATTTCGCGGCGTGCGCCTTCTCTTAGTTGCGCTAACTATTCCTTTCTTTTTCTTTTTCGATCATCGACCATCTTCTTCTCCGCCGCGGAAATCGCTCTCCGCCCCTCGACTTGCCAAGCGCAGATGTCAGGCGACGGTGCTGCGCTTCCGATCACGACGGCGGACCCTGCGATTTCGACCCCTGGCCTTTCCTCGGGGGGTTCGGCGGAGAAGGATCGTCGGGAATCGGCGGCCGCTCCCTCTCCTCATACCGCCGAGAAGAAGGCTAAGGCGGCCGCCCTTGGAGCTGTGTCTGTTTCTCAAGGTATGACTCATTCTCCCCCGACACGAAGCGCGTCTGAATGCGTGTTTGATCTCTCGGGCTTAGAATTATATGTAGGAAATGCGTTTGAACTGGACAGTTGCCTTGTCGGAATTTCTGTAGACTTAGAAAATTCTAATGTTGATACCCGCCCTGTGCCAGTTGGGGTTGTGGCCACCTCTTCGGCGGTCGGGGATAATTTGGGTGAATCGGATCGGGTAGGGCTAGGTAGCGATTCCTTGGACATAGAGGATGAGTCTGGAAGTGATGGGGTACACTCGGAAGCGGTTCCTAGTACTTCATCATCTTTGGAGGTAGAGGAGGACGCAGAGGGAAGACCGCTTCCTCTTGCTATTGCCGACTCTGTGTATACTTTGCTTTTACACGTTGGGATGTGGGATGATAGGGAGGTGCCAGAGGAGGTTTTTGCCCGCGGTCCAGCACATGAGGCGGTTTTTAGGCCCAATCAGGTATTGTACCGCCTGAAGTCGCTCCGCATGCCTCCAGACTGGCAATATGCGACTCCTTCTGAGCGGAGCCGCTCCGAGTCTTGCCCCGACGGTTGGATTCCCATCCATGTCGAGCACGTAAAGCTTGGCCTGCGGTTCCCGTTGGAACCCATTCTGACGAAGGTCCTGCTTTGGCTCAACTGCACTCTTGGATGCCTCTCCCCCACCATTATCTTCCATTCGGTCATGTATCGTTGGGCGTGTGACCGCCTGAAGGAGACTCCTTCTTTCGATGCGTTCCGGATGATATACAATATCCACGACTCGCCCAACGTTTGGTCCATCGGGAGGCGGGAGAATGCCGTTGGCTTCGTCAAGGGAGCGCCTAAGCTTGATTCCCCATGGTATAAGGAGTACTTCTTCGCTCGTCCCTCCTGGAAGTGGTATTCTGGTGACGTGGAACCGCGGACGGGTTACTCGGCAGGGCAGAAGGATGAATGGTGTGCTCCCTCGCAGTTCCCTCAATCAGTGAAGGATCATGTTACACGTCTCGTGAATGGGATTCAGATCCGTGTGAATCATAGCGGTCCCAAGAGCGCTTATCAGCACGTTCGTGCGTTTTATGGTTAGTGCCGCTTTTTTGGCTAATGTTGAACCGCTCTTTCTCATGTGCTTTACTTATGCTTTCCTTTTTCAGGACTCCGTGAGCTGGCGGACGCGAACCGCCCTAAGAAGAGGAAGGCAGGAAGGAATACCAAGGCAGGCAGCTCTTCTGCCCCGGGGACCGATGTTGGCAAGGCGGCCTCTGACCGCCCGTCGTCGACTGTCCCGCCAGTCGTAGACTTGGCGGGACCGGATGTCGAGCCGTCTGCCCCTCTGACCCGGCGAGCGGGGAAAAGGGTGGTGGAGGCTCCCGCCTCGGAGGCGGCAGCAAAGAGAGCGAGGACGAGCTCCCCTCGTTCGAAAGCGGCCGGGAAGCGTGTGGACCAGGGAGGCTCCATCCCCTTGTCTCAGTTGGCTGCTACAGATACGGAGGCGGCCGAACATGGTCTTCACACCATCAGCGACTGGCTCGCCATGCCGACCGAGTATACCTCTACCTCTGAGGATAACAACAGGCGTCTCGCGGGAACCGCTGCCCAGTTCTTCTTTGCGGTTAGTGCTCTCTTCTTCTGTGTGCAGCCTCCTTTTTACTCGGCTTCTATTGCCTGCTGGCCTAACTCATTTCTTTTTGGGTATGTCTATGCAGGCCCAGATTGGATTTTCTCAGATTATCCTTTTGAATGACCGCTTGTCGAAGACGGTGGAGGACAATGCGGTCGAGATCGCCAATCTTCGAAAGAGCGTGAGCAGCCAGCGGGAGGCCATTGTTGCAGAGGTGTGGCCCGAGATTCAACGTGAGTTTTCCGACAAGTTGGCAGAGAAGGAAAGGGAGGTGCTTGCGGCTAAAAACGCCTTGAGGAGAGCGCCCTTAAATCTAAGGAGCTGGAAAGAACTTTGCTGGAGGAGCAGGAGGCGCTTCGTCAAGAGGTGGCGAACCTCAAGAGCGAGAAGGCCGCTCTGACCGCGAGCCATGAAAGTGAGCTTGCAGCGGCTCGTGCTGAGGCGGGACCTGCTTATCTGCAGTCAGCCGAGTTCATTGCTTCTGACAAGGCCAAGTACAAGACCGTGGTTGGCAACGTGGTGGCCGCCATCCGTCATTTGTTCAGGGAAAAACGCCCCTGATGTCGAGTGGGACTCGGACCGCGTCTGGGATGCGGTTGGTCTATGGTCAGCAACTGATGTTAATTCGGAGGCGGATGAGTCCGAGGAGGAAGAAGCGGGAAACGAGGTCGAGGTTCCTCGTGGAGAAGAAGGAGGCGAAGGAGGGGGTGATGTTTCCCCTTTAGTGTAAATCATGTCTTGCATACTCCTTGTGCCTTTATCTTTTATTTGTTATGTTTTCTTCGTAGACAATGATCTTTTGGGAGCGTGCGCGCTCTAGTGCGGGTGAGCACTTTTTGTGATGTGCGTATTATGAACGCAATCTGTGTTACTATTTTAAGGCCGTCCCAGTTGGCCTGGGATATTTAGTATTTTCTTGAATGACTTGGTTAAAGTCGAATCGTTTACCCTAGGGGATTTCATGGACATCTTCTTGTTAGCATGGATGCGGTTGAGACAGCGCCGAAACAGGATGTGTTTGGCGGGCTTAGTCCTCTGGCGGCCAAAGTGTGTAGGAGGAGCACCAGCGGCAAAAGGTCGCTTTATATTTGGTGTTAAGCTTTGGGTTTTCTCGCTGTTTTTGTTGAAGATTTCTGTGACGATGCGGTGTTTGACCGTGGTTTGTCTTTCACAAGAGGTTGGATGGACTTGTGGCGGCCGCGATGCCCCTTTCTTATTTTGCGCGAGACTTTGAGTCGCCCGACCTAAGCTTGGGTAACGCGAGTGTCAAGTTTCACTGTGTTAGCCGAAGTAGATATCAGTGTATTACGTAAGGGAAAGTGGGTGCGTGATAGCAACCCGTACACTGTTACAAGTGGGGGCACTGCCCTGTCCACCAAAAGAAACTCAAAAGCGGGTGCTTAACAGCTACCCGTACATTGTTGTACTGACAAACGGGGCACTCTAGAGCGCATCTGTGTGGTACTTCCGTAGATGCATGCCATTCCATGTCTTGGAGATCGGGTGGCCCTCCATGGTTGCGAGTCGAAACGTGTTGGGGCCAGTCTTTTCTCCAACGAGAAATGGGCCCTCCCATGTGGCGGCCAGCTTGCCATGCTCATCTTTACTTTGAAAGTCGCGCTTAAGAACCATGTCCCCTTCCTCAAGAGGTCGTGGTTTCACGTTCTTGTTGTATGTCGCGGCGACCCTCGCTTTTTCGTGCATGATGCGTTCCATGGCCGCGTCACGCCTTGACTCAATCATGTCCAGCTGATCGAGGAGCTTCTCGTGATTGCGCTCCCGGTCGTACGCCTGAACTCGGAGTGAGGGTAGGTTCATTTCTTCTGGGGCGACCGCCTCGGAGCCATAAGTTAATGCAAAGGGAGTTTCGCCCGTGGCTGTCTTGTGAGTCGTGCGGTGCGCCCACAGAATGTGTGGTAGTTCGGCGGTCCATGCCCCCTTGGCCTCTCGAAGGCGCCTCTTCAATCCTTGGAGGATCAGCTTGTTGGAAGCTTCTGCTTGGCCATTGGTCTGCGGGTAAGCGACCGAGGCCATGGTGCATATGATGCGGTTTCTTGCACAGAAATTTTCAAACGGACGACAGTCAAACTGCGTCCCATGATCAGTGATGATCGAATGAGGGACTCCGAATCGGATCATGATGTTGTTGAACACGAATTTTTGCACTCTTGCACTAGTGATGGTTTCAAGCTGTTCAGCCTCTATCCACTTGGTAAAATAGTCGACGGCGACCACCAAGTACTTCTTTCCTAGGGGCGCCGTGGGGAAAGGTCCCAGGAGGTCGAGTCCCCACCTAGCGAACGGCCACGGTCCCATCACGCTCTGCAGCTCGGAGCTCGGTTGGTGATGCTTGGACGCGTGAACTTGGCATGCATGACACTTGAGGACGACGTCTGAGGCGTCTCTCTTGATGGTAGGCCAGTAGTAACCTTGCAGGAGAACAGTTCTTTCAAGCGATCTTGGACTAGCATGCGTAGCGCATGTTCCCTGGTGTATTCCCTTCAAGGTCCACTTAGCCTCTTCCACCCCGAGACACTTTAGGTAGGCGCCGGAGAATGATCTTTTGAAGAGTTGACCGTCTACCATCGAATACCGGGCCGCCTTTCGTTTGAGTGCCTTCCACTCCACCGGATTTTGTGGGGTGACGTCGTGTTCCAGGTACTGGATCATGGGGGTTCGCCAGTCTGCGGCCTCCTCGATGTCCATGACCTCTTCTGTGAATTCACTTTCTTTGGTGACGGTGACTTGTCGGTCGACTTCGAAGTCCATGGCGGTTGCGAGCTTGGAAAGCGCGTCTGCATGTTGGTTGTCTTCTCTCCGAACGTGCTCCAGTTTCCACGAACTTAGCTGAGACAGGGCCTCTCTCACTTTGGTGGCTAATGCCGCTAGCGTCTCATCCTTAATCTCGAACGCTTCTAGAACCTGTTTGACGACCAGGAGGGAGTCGGAGAATATCTGCACGTCGGTGGCACCTAGGGTGGACAATATCCGAAGCCCATTGATCAGTGCTTCGTACTCAACGACATTGTTGGTCTTGATCTCTTTGAATCTCAGCGAGATTTCATGCACCACTCCTTCGGGGGACTCGATGACGATCCCTGCCCCCGAAGCGGTCTTTCCAGCGGCGCCGTCTATGAACAGACGCCATATGTGATTGCGTTCCTCGGAAGGAGCGGTTTCGAGGGAGAAGCCTTCAGCGATGAAGTCAGCAAGGACTTGCCCCTTAATGGCGGGCCTGGGTGCATATTCAATGTCGTATTCGCTCAGCTCGATTGCCCATTTAGTCAACCGACCTGAGGCGTCCATGCCTCTCATGATGCTCTTGAGCGGGAGGTGAGATAACACCGTGATCGGATGCTCTTGAAAGTATGGTCGTAACTTTCTTGCCGCAGAGGCGACCGCAAGGACAGCCTTTTCGACGGGCAAATACCTCGTTTCGGCGGGAAGAAGCGCCTTGCTAACGTAGTAGACAGGTTGGTCGGAGCCGTCTTGCGCTCTTCTCACCAGGACAGAACTTACAGCTTGCTTGGAGACCGCCAGGTAAAGGTAGAGTCGCTCTCCGCTTATGGGGGCGCTCAAAACAGGTGGTTGGCTGAGCTGGTCTGTCAACAGCTGAAAAGCCTTATCACACTCAGCACCCCATTGGAGCCTTGATGCCGATTTCTTCAGCATTTGGAATAATGGAGAGCATTTGTCGGCGGACCGCGGGATGAATCTTCCGAGTGCGGCCATCTTGCCATTGAAAGCTTGGATTTCTTTGATGGTCTTTGGCGGCTTCAGACCGCGTATGGCTTCGATTTGTTTCGGGTTGGCTTCTATCCCTCGTTTCGTGATCATGAACCCTAAGAACTTTCCCGCTTCAGCACCGAAGACGCATTTGAGCGGGTTGAGCCTTAGATTCTTTTTCCTCAGTGTTTCGAAAGTTTCCCTTAGGTCGGTCAGGTGGTCAGCCGCCCTCTTACTTTTGACTAGCACGTCGTCGACGTAGGCTTCCACGTTACGCCCCATTTGCTCCTTAAAGACCGCATCCACCATCCGCTGATAGGTCGCCCCCGCGTTCTTTAGTCCGAAGGGCATTACTACGTAGCAGAAGTTTCCCATGGGAGTCATGAAAGCGGTAAGCTCTTGATCCTCATCCGCCATTCTGATCTGGTGGTATCCTGAGAACATATCCAGGAAGCTGAGGGCTTCATGATTGGCGGTCCCGTCTATAAGCTAGTCAATGCGGGGAAGAGGATATGCGTCCTTGGGGCAGGCCGCATTGAGGCTGGTGAAGTCGATGCACATTCTCCAAGCGCCTCCAGCCTTGCGTACAAAGACCGGATTTGAGAGCCAAGTGGGGTACTTGACTTCTCGGATGAATCCGGCTTTGAGGAGGCGTCGCACCTCCTCTTCCAGTGCCATTTGCTTTTCGACTGACAGATGCCTCATTCGCTGTTGTATGGGACGCGCTTTGGCTTTGACTGAGAGGCGGTGCTCGGAGACCCTTCTGGGGACTCCGGGCATGTCCTCTGGCCCCCATGCGAAGAGGTCTTGGAACTCTCTGAGGAGTGCAAGTAGTTTCTGGGCTTCCTCTTGGGCGAGGTGCGCGGAGATACGCACTGTCCTCTCTGGCCGCTCTTCGTCTAGCACGACCGCCACATCCCCCTCAACCGTTTCCGGTCTCGGGACGTCGCCTCTAGTGTCGACCAGATCGACTTCGAGGTGTTCGATGGTGGCTTGGTAGCACTCTCTAGCCTCTTGTAGGTTACCTCGAACGCGCCCGGTTTGTCCTCCGCTTGGGAACTTAAGCATCTGGTGGCATGTGGATGCAACCGCCTCGAACGAAGCCAGGAAGCCGCGTCCAAGAATGGCGTTATATGCCGAAGGACAATCCGCCAGGTGAAACTCCACGGGTCTGGTCTTTGTGATTCCTCCTTCTCCTATGGTGACTTTGAGCATGATCGAGCCGAGGACACGGACTTTGGTGCCGGAGAACCCTACCAAGCTGGTGGTGGAAGGGTTGAGATCCTGGACGCTCTTTTTCATCCCTTTGAGCGCTGAGTAAAATAGTATGTCCGCCGAGCTCCCATTGTCGACCAGGGCTCTAGTGACTTTGAACTTGGCGGTTCGAAAGGAAATGACCAAGGGGTCTTCCGAGTTTTCTTCGTTGGCTAACTCTGACGGTAGGAAGGCGACCTCGGTCGGTGCTCTCCGCTGCATGTTAAGACATTGAGCGATGCGGTCTCCTTCAGTTCTTGGGCGCTTCCGACCTCCTGCAATCGTTATGACTTCCATCCCATCGTCTTCATTTCGAGGAGCTCTGTAGGGAGGAGACTGCCTCGGGGAGGCGACCTTGTTTCGAGAGCGGGACCTTGATCTTTCCTTTCTTGTGCGTCTCGTCTTGTCCTGCTCGGGACTCGGGGACTCCTCCCGCTCTTCTGCTGAATGTTCTCTGTGAGACCGCCTCATTTCTAGCTTGCTTCTGAGGTCTCCTGGGGCCAGATGTCGGAGCGTGGCTTTGAACTCCCTACACTCCGTGGTGTCATGGGTCGTGATTTGGTGCTAGTCGCACCACTTTTTTCCTTCTTGCGGTTCTTGGACGGAAGACGTCTCGTGCTTCCTTCCGCCTTTCCTTCGGTCCCTTCCCTTTTCTCTGTCGGTGGAGAGGACATCTCTTC